AGGAACAATATAGAAGAAAAGGAGGAGAAAAGGGAAGAGATAAGATCGGAAAAGAGACAAGGGCACTCCAGGTTCCCTGCGGGTCAGAAACATATGGCTACAGTGGCGAAAACAACAGATAGAATGCCTCCCCGGAAACTACAGCAGATATAGATCAATGAAAAAGACATAGAAGAAAAGGAAGGGTAAGGAACAAATATAGAAGAAAAGGAGGAGAAAAGGGAATAGGATAAGGTCGGAAAAGAGACAAGGGCACTCCAGGTTCCCTGCGGGTCAGAAACATTTGGCTACAGTGGGGAAAACAACAGATAGAATGCCTCCCCGGAAACTACAGCAGATATAGATCAATGAAAAAGACATAGAAGAAAAGGAAGGGTAAGGAACAATATAGAAGAAAAGGAGGAGAAAAGGGAAGAGGATAGATCGGAAAAGAGACAAGGGCACTCCAGGTTCCCTGCGGGTCAGAAACATCTGGCTACAGTGGGGAAAACAACAGATAGAATGCCTCCCCGGAAACTACAGCAGATATAGACTAGATCGATGAAAAAGGCATACAAGAAAAGGAAGGGTAAGGAACAATAAAGAAGAAAAGGAGGAGAAAAGGGAAGAGGATAAGGTCGGAAAAGAGACAAGGGCACTCCAGGTTCCCTGCGGGTCAGAAACATATGGCTACAGTGGGGAAAACAACGGATAGAATGCCTCCCCGGAAACTACAGCAGATATAGATCAATGAAAAAGACATGGAAGAACAGGAAGAGTAAGGAACAATATAGAAGAAAAGGAGGAGAAAAGGGAAGAGGATAAGGTCGGAAAAGAGACAAGGGTACTCCAGGTTCCCTGCGGGTCAGAAACATATGGCTACAGTGCGGAAAACAACAGATAGAATGCCTCCCCGGAAACTACAGCAGATATAGATTAATGAAAAAGACATAGAAGAGAAGGAAGAGTAATTAAGGAACAATATAGAAGAAAAGGAGGAGAAAAGGGAGGAGGATAAGATCGGAAAAGAGACAAGGGCACTCCAGGTTCCCTGCGGGTCAGAAACATATGGCTACAGTGCGGAAAACAACAGATAGAATGCCTCCCCGGAAACTACAGCAGATATAGATTAATCAAAAAGACATAGAAGAGAAGGAAGAGTAATTAAGGAACAATATAGAAGAAAAGGCGGAGAAAAGGGAAGAGGATAAGATCGGAAAAGAGACAAGGGCACTCCAGGTTCCCTGCGGGTCAGAAACATATGGCTACAGTGGCGAAAACAACAGATAGAATGCCTCCCCGGAAACTACAGCAGATATAGATCAATGAAAAAGACATAGAAGAAAAGGAAGGGTAAGGAACAATATAGAAGAAAAGGAGGAGAAAAGGGAAGAGGATAAGGTCGGAAAAAAGACAAGGGCACTCCAGGTTCCCTGCGGGTCAGAAACATATGGCTACAGTGGGGAAAACAACAGATAGAATGCCTCCCCGGAAACTACAACAGATATAGTTCAATGAAAAAGACATAGAAGAAAAGGAAGGGTAAGGAACAATATAGAAGAAAAGGAGGTGAAAAGGGAAGAGGATAAGATCGGAAAAGAGACAAGGGCACTCCAGGTTCTCTGCGGGTCAGAAACATCTGGCTACAGTGGGGCAAACAACAGATAGAATGCCTCCCCGGAAACTACAGCAGATATAGATCAATGAAAAAGACATAGAAGAAAAGGAAGGGTAAGGAACAATATAAAGAAAAGGAGGAGAAAAGGGAAGAGGATAAGATCGGAAAAGAGACAAGGGCACTCCAGGTTCCCTGCGGGTCAGAAACATATGGCTACAGTGGGGAAAACAACAGATAGAATGCCTCCCTGGAAACTACAGCAGATATAGATTAATGAAAAAGACATAGAAGAGAAGGAAGAGTAATTAAGGAACAATATAGAAGAAAAGGAGGAGAAAAGGGAAGAGGATAAGGTCGGAAACGAGACAAGGGCACTCCAGGTTCCCTGCGGGTCAGAAACATATGGCTACAGTGGGGAAAACAACAGATAGAATGCCTCCCCGGAAACTACAGCAGATATAGATCAATGAAAACGACATAGAAGAAAAGAAAGGGTAAGGAACAATATAGAAGAAAAGGAGGAGAAAAGGGAAGAGGATAAGGTCGGAAAAGAGACGAGGGCACTCCAGGTTCCCTGCGGGTCAGAAACATATGGCTACAGTGGGGAAAACAGCAGATAATCAGCAGATAGAATGCCTCCCCGGAAACAGCAGCAGATATAGGTCAATGAAGAAAACATAGAAGAAAAGGAAGGGTAAGGAACTATATAGAAGAAAAGGAGGAGAAAAGGGAAGAGGATAAGGTCGGAAAAGAGACAAGGGCACTCCAGGTTCCATGCGGGTCAGAAACATATGGCTACAAGGCGGAAAACAACAGATAGAATGCCTCCCCGGAAACTACAGCAGATATAGATCAATGAAAAAGACATAGAAGAAAAGGAAGGGTAAGGAACAATACAGAAGAAAAGGAGGAGAAAAGGGAAGAGGATAAGATCGGAAAAGAGACAAGGGCACTCCAGGTTCCCTGCGGGTCAGAAACATATGGCTACAAGGCGGAAAACAACAGATAGAATGCCTCCCCGGAAACTACAGCAGATATAGATCAATGAAAAAGACATAGAAGTATAGGAAGGGTAAGTAACAATATAGAAGAAAAGGAGGAGAAAAGGGAAGAGGATAAGATCGGAAAAGAGACAAGGGCACTCCAGGTTCCCTGCGGGTCAGAAAAATCTGGCTACCGTGGCGAAAACAACAGATAGAATGCCTCCCCGGAAACTACAGCAGATATAGATCAATGAAAAAGGCATAGAAGAAAAGGAAGGGTAAGGAACAATATAGAAGAAAAGGAGGAGAAAAGGGAAGAGGATAAGATCGGAAAAGAGACAAGGGCACTCCAGGTTCCATGCGGGTCAGAAACATATGGCTACAAGGCGGAAAACAACAGATAGAATGCCTCCCCGGAAACTACAGCAGATATAGATCAATGAAAAAGACATAGAAGAAAAGGAAGGGTAAGGAAAAAATATAGAAGAAAAGGAGGAGAAAAGGGAAGAGGATAAGGTCGGAAAAGAGACGAGGGCACTCCAGGTTCCCTGCGGGTCAGAAACATCTGGCTACCGTGGCGAAAACAACAGATAGAATGCCTCCCCGGAAACTACAGCAGATATAGACCAATGAAAAAGACATAGAAGAAAAGGAAGGGTAAGGAACAATATAGAAGAAAAGGAGGAGAAAAGGGAAGAGGATAAGATCGGAAAAGAGACAAGGGCACTCCCGGTTCTCTGCGGGTCACAAAAATATGGCTACAGTGGGGAAAACAACAGATAGAATGCCTCCCCGGAAACTACAGCAGATATAGATCAATGAAAAAGACATAGAAGAAAAGGAAGGGTAAGTAACAATATACAAGAAAAGGAGGAGAAAAGGGAAGAGGATAAGGTCGGAAAAGAGACAAGGGCACTCCAGGTTCCCTGCGGGTCAGAAACATATGGCTACAGTGGGAAAAACAACAGATAGAATGCCTCCCCGGAAACTACAGCAGGTATAGATCAATGAAAAAGACATAGAAGAAAAGGAAGGGTAAGGAACAATATAGAAGAAAAGGAGGAGAAAAGGGAAGAGGATAAGATCGGAAAAGAGACAAGGGCACTCCAGGTTCCCTGCGGGTCAGAAACACATGGCTACAGTGCGGAAAACAACGGATAGACTAGAATGCCTCCCCGGAAACTACAGCAGATATAGATCAATGAAAAAGACATAGAAGAAAAGGAAGGGTAAGGAACAATATAGAAGAAAAGGACGAGAAAAGGGAAGAGGATAAGGTCGGAAAAGAGACAAGGGCATGACAAGGGCATGACAAGGGCATTCCAGGTTCCCTGCGGGTCAAAAACATATGGCTAAAGTGGCGAAAACAACAGATAGAATGCCTCCCCGGAAACTACAGCAGATATGGGGGCAATGAAAAAGGCATAGAAGAAAGGGAAGGGTAAGGAACAATATAGAAGAAAAGGAGGCGAAAAGGGAAGAGGATAAGATCGGAAAAGAGACAAGGGCACTCCAGGTTCCCTGCGGGTCAGAAACATATGGCTACAGCAGGGAAAACAACAGATAGAATGCCTACGGAAACTACAGCACGTATAGATCAATGAATACAGACATAGAAGAAAAGGAAGGGAAAGGGACTATTATAGAAACAAAAGGACAAGGAAAGGGAAGCGGATAAGAGCGGAAAAGAGACAAGGGCACTCCAGGTTCCCTGCGGGTCAGAAATGTGGCTACAGTAGAAAAACAACAGATAGAATGCCCCCCGGAAACTACAGCAGATATAGATCAATGAAAAAGACATAGAAGAAAAGGAAGGGCAAGGAACAATATAGAAGAAAAGGAGGAGGCATTCTAACTGTATTTCGCCTGTAAAATACCAGTCAAAACTTACATTTTCTTACCAATTTTGGCGCCGCATTCTAACTGTGTTTCTGCATATTTACAGGGGTTTCCTCAGTTAGAATGCGACTGCCGTGGGGGGGGGGCCAAACGGGCCACCATCACGCGAAGCCAAAACCGCATTCTAACTTTGTTTTTAACGGTATAATAGTTATATCGTCTATAGTCATTTAATGTCATGCGTATTTTTAAAATCTATAATAAATTTTGGTGTTGTCATGTGTTATCCTCAATTTTGCTCCGGTGCTTGATTGGTTTTGATGGTACATGTCAAAACCAATCCCTGAAGCGAATCAACTGAGACTTTCTTCCAAGATAGGTTGGAAGTGGCGGAAAACAAAAGAGATTTGAGGCCACCATCCCTATCTATAGATGCCCTAAGACCCTTTAATTTTGGCTGTTTACAACCCGGGTACAGAGTTCCATGTCCAAAACCAAAGACACCCACAGCTTTACCAAAACAAACCGTGGAAGGGTTCAAAGATGTTCAAAGGCAAACTGTTTGATCCATTTCGAGCGACAAGATTGATGACTTCAAAGATCCGGTTTCCTTGGTCGGGAGCGGCATTCATCAGGAAATGTCTTGGAATTTCAGCAACAAGGGCAAAGACATCGGCCCTGCAACTGCCGAAGTATTGAACATGACTTCAAATCCTTTGAAATACCGTGCGCGTTTTCCTGGCACCATTTCATACAATCATTCCCATAGCAAGACCTTAACGTCTTCCAAATCCAAAACTGCCAGCGGCTGCCAAGGCTCCATATCAAAGCTCAAGGAGGACTCAGGCTCGATAGGAAACAAGGATGCTCCGTAGGCATGCGGAACCAATCGATTCGACATCGCATTGTTCCGCAACGCCGCTTGATCCTCGCTCTTAGGAACCATGATATCTGCCACAAGCCACTCGATCGCATGCTCAATGTGGAAGCCAGCGTCCACACCCTGCTCTGCCTTCCCCATGCGTTTGATCCTGGGCCAATGGGATCCAAATGGATCCAGGTCATCACCATGGCACCATGGCTTGTGTTGATTGCTCTTGATGCTGCACCGTATATTTTTCCATATTTTTCCATGTCCAAGCGGAAAAAAAAACAGTACTGAACTGGGGCTTGTCCATGTTTCTTTTTTGTTCACTACACTGCCTCCACCCCTAAAAACAATACCAAACTGGAGTTTATTACAGGTACCATCTACAAACTTAACCTATAAAAACCAATGGCAACCAATCATTTATAGATCATTTCCGAGGGAAACATTGAAACCATGAGTTTTCTGCAAAAAAAACACATGATCTCCCTGCTGTCCTACACCACAAGGAGATCTCCGGCTCTTGCAGCTCGCTTTCCAGCTGACTTAGTTGACTCATCATCCGCAGATCTGGCACCTTGCAGGCCTCGCAGCTGTGAAATCATCGGGATACGGGGATAATAATACTTGCAATAGGATTCAATAGGTCTGCAATATGTAGATAGATATATATATATATAACATTCATTGATTGGTATAAGGTGGATGAACTGAATTGCAGATAGATAGATAGATAGATAGATACGGTAGATAGATAGATAGATAGATAGATAGACAGAACCCCTTGGCCCCCTTGGCAAAACCTCCAGAAAGCGATTCGCCAATCTCCTGGGCGGAGCTCTGGAGCACCCTTTGGTCATTGGTCGGTGGCAATGGAAACTCCACGCTTTTGGTTTCCCATGGCTTCTCCACTGAACGGTGAATTGTCTCTCAAACCATGCGGGCTTTTCCCCTCTTTGCCACAGTTTCCCACTCAAAGTCGGGGCTTGGATTGTTGGGAGGTTCTGGGAAAAGCGGAGGTTAACGATGGTTAACGGAAGCTGGATCTATAAAAGCCAAGTCTCAACATCAAATCTTTGGGAGCCTTGATGCTGACTTCAAAGCTTTCCAGATCGGTGGGCACCCGCAATTGAGCACCTGGCAACATGAAAAAAGGTTCCAACTTCAACTGGACCCAACCTGTATACCGAGGGCAAACTGAACCCACCTTTAGTTTTCTTGCCTGGCCGTGTTGCATCAGAACGACACATCACCAGTAATACTTTTGTCTGGATGCCATTTATAATCTTAAGCGACCTCCTGGCGTCCAAGGCGTGCAGAAGCTGCGACCAGTGAAACATGATTTGTTCTAATGATAGTTGAATCATTTTCCCCTGCAAAAGAAACATATCCTGGTACAATCGCCAGCCCAAATCTCGTTGTGCACAAGGTTCATTTATCGCCGGTTTGGTAGACTTGGGTTGCTAGAGAATGTGCCGAACACATGGATGGTGTCGATTCTAAAGCCGGTTTCGCCTCCTTCTGGAGAGACATGAACTGCCTCGTCAAAGACAATCTTCAACCAGGTTTCGAAGAATTGAAGCTGCTCCTCTCCGGTCTGTTCATGCTGTTGCCACGTTTTTGGTCATTATGTTCCATTCATGCCCAACAAGTTGGGAAAGTCCCAGGGTATCAAGACTAATGTAAAGCTGTGATCCATTATTAATTTCTGATCTATCATAATCTTTAGTTGTGGGGGGAAAGAAAAAATTGGGGCCGGGTAACTACCTCAAATTCACCAACGGGCTATTCATAGTGGGCTTGATTCTAGCAAAATCTTACCCATATTCCAAAGCTGTTCATATTCCATGCCAAAATAGCTCCGGAAGTTTGGAAAATAATGAGCGACCTTCGATGCTGAGAATGAAGTTGTGTGACCCTTGTCAGGCGCACCTTTTCCCTTGGCACGTGCTGTCATGTCCAATCGCACATGTTTAACCCCGCTAAGATCCTTTGAGTTCACAGTTTCTCAAGCAATGATTTCTTGAATAAACATGAAGTCTTGTGTTTCTCTCATCAATCATCAACTTTTCTATAGGATCTCTTAAAACCATTGGATAAGCTGTTCAGCTTATTTTTTTGACGCGTTTGGCTGGCGGTTCAGCTTCCGTATCCGCAAACTGGGCCAAGTCTGGATTTCGCTGTTCTTCCTCGAACCCAAATGGTACCATATTTCCACTGAATACACTTACATTGAGTAGGATGCCACCCCTGGAGTACGATGCCCCCTGGTATGCGTTGCCAGTCCTGCATGTGGGATTCTCAAGCATATGTTGACATCTTTTTTGATCAAATTGGGGTCAGAAATTCCATTCCATATACCAGAGAGCATCACACTCCATCCTGCACGGCTAGCACCACAACCGAGGATTTCCATAGCCTCCACAGGCGTAAAGTATCAAAATTTGATGGAATACGATTGTATGCGCGACTCTTCAAAACGCTGGAAAAACAACGATTTCCCCCATATTCCATATTATCATATTCCAGGGCATTTTACCTCCGACGAGAAAAAAAAATAAAAAAAACCTCTTCAGGTTCATTAAAAAAAAAAATGGCTGTATGCGACGGTTTTTCTGGTATACTATGCCTTTTGTGGAGTACGAAGATCTGTGAGTACATGTGGAGTGCGATGGGGTCCTCTGGAGTCCGATGACACCCCTCGAGTGCGATGCCACATGAGTATGCGCGGCGGGAAATCCCCTGAGAGAAGGATTCTGGGCCACAATTCCCCAAATTCAACAACAGAGCGGATGCTGGTTGTTGTAGTTTAACGGGATTTCAGCCCATTCAACAAACAAGTCACACAATATTTTGAAACCCTCTCCTACTTCAGTCTCCAAAATGGGAAACTCACCTATCAGGGCATGCTTTAGCTCATCCAGGCTCCATAGCATTTCAGGAACAACACAAGGCATCGACATGGTGCCAAACAATTTCCAAATCGAGCTGAAAGGTCTTCCCACCGCAACCAGTCAATTCACAGGTGTGAAACATATCACACACAGGGAAACAGGTTGGGAAAACAATGGGTCCAAAGAGACGGGTCTGGAGTACGATGGATTCATGATATAGGTAAATTTTCTGAATTTGCGTAACTTGGAGCTAGATTGATAGTATTGTTTCAGTTTTGTCCACCTGGCTTCTAATCATCTGCTCGGTCCTGCGAGGCACGTTGAGACTCTAGCAGGTAGTATGCCGCATTCTTCACACAGTCTTGCCGGGTGTAAGAACCCAGATGCCGAAAAGGTCGATCTACGTCTGGGCGATGGCAATGGGGACAAGGAAATGCTTGAAAAGGCTTGGCAGAGTCCGGAATTTATGACCAGGATTGACCTGGGGATCTTTCACTTAGTTGAAAGAAAAGTGAAGGGCTCGCGAGTCTCAGGTTGCGCCATGATCAAAATATGGGATTAATGGGCAAAGTCATCAATTACGTAATAGGAATCCTCACAATGGGTGTCTAAATCCAAATTGATGGATTCATGACCATCCCCCAACATGACCAACATGGAGAAAAATATGATCTTATTTACTTGCCCATATATGGCAGCAGAAATAAGGCCATCAATCCGCTTCCTGCCTCGCACGAGATCTTCCTCACGGCTTGAGATTAGGCTCGATTTGATTTTCTCCACACTTTTCGCGTCGCTTTTCTGCTTGTCCATCCGGCGGCACTGGATTTCAAGGCGCAAGATTTTGAGCTGTCAAGGATTGACCCAGAAACAATAAGAAACACTGCCTTAATAGTTTGCACCTGTTGCATGCCTTGACATGTCTTCACATCTCTAGGCCCGCAGTGAAGGCATTGCGTGAAAGACTTTGCAATTGGTCCATGCAATGTTTGTCTCATTTGTTTACACTTGCCGTGACAATGTTTGTCGCATTTAGTGGGCAGAAAGTGAAACTGCGGAAGAATACTAAAGTGTGAGCTGAATCTGAAAGCAAGAACCGTACGAAACCCAGGTTTTTGAATTTTTACCATGGATCTGAATTATATAGTCAATTTTCCCTTACTGCAAACCAGGAGCCAACCAGCCACTTGTACAGTTGTTCATTGGTACACCACCATTAATCATTGATACTCGCCTGGTCGAGGAGCGCGGTCGGGTGTACAGGGCCTCAATGGCGACCGAGGATCGAGCCGCAAAGCATGTGAGACGAACATGTGACTGCACAGATACAAACAAATCCATATATAATAAGAATAATAGAAGAATAAATTACAGAATAAACATGTGTGTATATGTATATATATATATGAGATTGAAATCACTTCAATCCTGTGTCCTGGGATGATTTTGGCTTCTTGTGTATGTTTGCAAGTGGCTCCAGGTCACTTTTTTATAGCATCCTGCCACATCGTCAGCAAACAGCAGCAGTGCTGCCATAAAGGCCCCGGCACCAAGCTGAAGTCTCGGCTCGGAGAAGCCGAGAAGGCACCTTCGAAGGGAGGATGCAAGTGTCAGGTCCAAAGCAGGTAAATAATTTTTGATTTTGTTTGCTTATCAGTTTGATATCATGTGATTAATTGTAGAATTCAAAGCCTAATGAAGTTGGATTTATATAAGTAGATATTTTTTTAAAAAAAAACTGATTACTTACCCAATGCCAATATCCCAATGATCAGCCATAAGAGGACGATACCACCAAACCTCTGAAACGTCGTTGTGGACGTTGAGGGGTCCGCGGCCTGGTGCCAACAAACATCTACAGCAGATGGCCATTTCCAAGGCACAATCTCAGGGTGACATTCTCAATCAATGTGAAGCCTTATGTATAGAAATGTATCCTCTTGAAATTTTCTATCCATACGTGCCCACAAATTCATATGTCTCGTGCATCTGTGCATATACATACATTGTCATATATATATGTATATAGTATATATTATAATTATATATATATGTGTGTTTATCATGTACTGTATATGAATTTTAATTTATAGCCGCGTGTGTTTACCAAATATGAATTTCATCTCTCCATGATCTGATTCACCCGGTGACTCAGTTCTCAGCGGGGTCATTGGTGGTGAATCAACCGCATGGCTGGTGCGCCCTGGAGCCGGCGATGCTAACGACCTCAGATGGTTTTTCATCAATGGAGTGGTGGGAAAATTTATTGTACACCCCCAAAAAAATAGAACAGTAATTCAGGCTTTGCTATACAGGAACAGTGTCTTGTTTTGAAAGGGTTCGATGAAGATTTTTCAATCATCAATTCTGGGATTTTATATGTTTTGAATTGTTTTTGGTGTTTGATCTTGAGGAAAAACGGGGGGACAAACGATGAGAAACAAATGAGCTGTCAGATGTTTTTTTTACTTGTCCGGTTAATGATGAACCAACTGCGTTGAAAAACCAGGGAACCACAGACAAAAAAGGTGATGGCACATCCTGGTATCAAATGTTCGAAGGTGAACTCTCCTGAAGAGCGCCTGTCCTTCACAAAAAACCTCAGCCCCGTGACATTTGTGCAATGGCTTCTGTGTCGCCCATCAACTCGTCCGCACTGTCACGATCCTGCACCAACAAATTGCACGACAGAATATCAAATGAACCATGTTTAAGCCAAACGGTTGATGTGTTTAAAACGTTAGTTTTATTTGATATATGTGGATTTGCAGGCCTACAAGAAAAACTCAGGTGTTCGAGACAGTTGTTCCTGATTTCACCTATCTTCACCTGGTGGAAATTCGAAATCCAGGCATGGGAACTGCCGCTACTGCACCTCTAGAAACAAGATCTGCTGCTGTCCATACAAGTCGTCTCAGCTGAACATTTGAAAACTGACTGGACTGATGACTTGAAGCAACGCAGATCAATTTTTACAGCCGCAGGCTCATGCACAGGTGATGTTTTTCTGGCGTCCATAGGGCGTCGCATAATAATCATAATGCACATCATATCATATCATATCTCATCACATCATATGAGTTGATACGATGTGATAACATGTGATCAACGTTTGATCATGTCAGATCTACCTTGACATATTTTAAAATAGCATCGTCATATCACATATCACACCACCTCAAAAATAACATGACCAATAGTCATAACAATATATCATATCATATCATACCAGTAGTACCGCACAAGGCGGTGGCGGAAGTTTCAAAAATAGGAAACCTATAGGATATAGGAAAGGTTGGTTGTTGTGAATCACGGATGCCAGAGCGAATCCACTGATGGACCGACAGGTGGTTGGAGTCGGAGTTGTGTTTTTTGGAATGGTTGCAATGGTTGCAGTGGTCACCTTACCACAACTGCTGGATGTAGTGTGGCGTAGTAGTTGCAGTTGTAGCTGTGATGCTGTAGTTGTAGTGTGGTGGAGCTGTGGCTGTAATGTATTGTAATTAGTGTATCCGCAGGTGCATTGGCAGTTGTAGTCGTGGTGTGGTGTAATTAGTGTAGCGTAGTACAGCGTAATGTTGTGTAGTGTTGTGTGGTATGGTATAGTGTAGTCTAGTGTAAGGTAGCGTAGTGTAGTGTAGTGTAATTGTTGCAGTTGCAGCTGTAGTTGTAGCGTTTTGCAATGTAATCAGTGTAGTGTAGTGTTGTGTTCGTAGTGATGGTGTGCTGCAGTGTACTTAGTGTAGTGTAGTTGTAATTGTAGTTGTAGTTGTGGTAGTAGTTGTTGGTGTAGTTGTTAGTGTAATTGGTGTAGTGTAGTGTGATTGGGTGTGACTAGTGTAGTGTAGTGTACTTAGTGTAGCGTAATGTAGCGTAGTATATTTGCATTTGCAGTTGTAGCAGTAGTGTAGTGTAGTGGTAGTCGTAGTTGTTGTAGTTGTAATTGTCTATCTATCTATCTATCTATTTATCTATCTTTCTTTCTTTCTTTCTCTCTCTCTGTCTGCCTGTCTGTCTATCTATCTATCTGTCTATCTGCAAGCTTGAAAACGAAGCTCTTCTGCGAGACTTCCTCAGTTTTTGAACTTGACAACATCAAAAACGCAGCAATTCAGCGAGACTTCCTCATTTTTTGAAGTTGACGAACGTCCAAAAGTGCTCCGAACCCCTCGGTTTTTTGGCACTTTTGACTTCGAAATCTGCTTCGCGCCACAACGGCGTGCACTTTTTCGACATCTCAACTTCCAAAAATGGTCCGAAGCTGGTGTGTTTTCTGTACATTTTGACTTCGAAATGTGCTTCGCGCCACAACAGCGTTCCACTACGGCGTGCACTTTTTCGACATCTCAACTTCCAAAAGTGTTCTGAACCCGTCAGTTTTTTACACTTTTGACTTGGAAATGTGCTTCCCGCCACAACGGCGTGCAATTTTTCATCTCTCATCTGCCCAGCAGGCTCCGCACCCGCCGCTGTAGCGAGCCTACTTTTCGACCCGCCGGAGCCACAAATCATTGGAAAAACGCAGTGTTTCGCGACTTTCCTCCCTTTTCGCGCAACTGGATCTTCTTTCTTCTGAGACTTTCTCTTTCTTCTTCTCTTCTCTTCTCTTCTCTGACTCTTCCCATCTCTGCGACTCTTCCCATCTCTGCTCTTCATCTGTCCATATTGTCGGAAGTTTGACTTCTAAACTTCCTTCGATTATCAATATAATATATATATATATAATTATATATATATATGTAACATTTATGTAACAACATTGAACATGATGTCACGGCGGTCGGCTTCAGAGCCTCTGACATCGGGCTTCCTTGTCGAGCACGCTTCCCCGCCTTACGGAAGGCCCAAACGCCGCACTGTGCGACGAGTGCCAGCTGCCAGCTGAAGACTTGAGTTGCTGACATTTTTGGGAGTCACTGGTGCTGGGCTGGAGGCACCTTGGAACAATCGGGATAGCTCCCACATGCTCCCACCAAAAACCCCCTTTAAGCCTAGGTCTTCATGTGCCTTTAGATTATTCACATGCGATGCCTTTGCCTCTGCCATCAGTTATCTCCTTGCCGCATTTTCAGCAAAGCATGTTGGTTTCCAAGTGCGGAACGCCGCTGAAGCATTTCTCCATCCATACGAGTGACCAACTCATTCCTTGCTCATTGGATGGCCAACGTGCATGTCTCCAGATGTCTCCAGTTGGTAATAGACGCTACACCGTCCAATTTTGTAGCGGCCATAGTGTGCTTGAAACGGACACTCCCAAACGCTTCGTCGAACGAAAACGTCACTAGCTCACTATAGTTCAAAAATGCTGCTCGGCCACAACATTTCAAGACGAAGACAAATTAATAATTAATGACTAAAGATGAATAAAGATCAATAAAGCATAATAAAGCATTGTATATCAATTGATTCCGTGCTAAGACCGCCAGGTCCCCCATGAACCCCCCACAACCAACACTCTTCCAAGCGCAATCATCTCCTGCTTTATCCATCTTTATCCTGTTTCAAGATGCTTCAGATCTAGCACAACTGTTCCCACACAGCCCTGAAGCGCCCTTCATGAGCCAAGCATCAGAACCGACATCATCGTGATAGCGCTCATCCGGTCTGCCTCACATCTTACCACCAGAACCATTTTACAAGCAACAACCTCATCCATGCCATTTCAAGAGTGGCTTGTTTGCTCTCTAGTTTCCCATTTATTTTCACCAAAAGAAATGTCATGGCAGTGGATGGTATACCGACGGTATACCCCGGGCCAGGTGCCTCTTGCGCATCCAGGGCATCACGAAACAAAGGCTCCAACACCTTCCAGGACTGTCAGAAAGATTGAAATCCAAGGCAGCAGTATCCCTGGAGGCAGGCACTGCCAGCTACAAACAGCCTCCCTTACTAACAGAAATCTCTGTGTTTCCTTCCTTTTTGAAGGTATCCTCTGGCAATCCACCATTGCCATGGAAAATTATGGTGTATTTGTCCCCTCCTCAGTAGGAAAGTGGGCGAATCATCTACAAACGGCTGATTTTCCATGGCGATCTTAAATTACCAGGGGGAGACATGTATGTTTGCGCACAAACTCCCCAACGGCTGCCAGCCATCATGCTGCCACCTGCTGCCGTGAAGCTTCATTGATAGCCAGCTCTGTGCCAATGCTTCGGCACCTCAATGGTCACAAAACTTCACAAAACTCCAACCCAAATCGCAGGATCCGCATGAAACATCATGGAACCTCTGAATGTGGATATACTATCAACATCAACTATATAAAACATTAAAATTAAAAAAAAACGAGGCGCAAGAGCTGCTGAGCATAGCGAATTTGTGCCCAGTACTTGTCATCGCTTCTGTGGTGCTGGTACAAGCCTTGGCATCAAGGCTTTGGGACGGCCATGCATGCTGAGTCGTGTTGGGATCCGTCAAGTTGCAAAAATTCCGACTTGGTGCACCATGTTGCAACATGTTGCAACCTGCCGAAGCAACATTCCCATGTGTGAATATTCATGATTCAGTTTTTTTTGGCATCATAGCAAGCACTGGCTATACAGGTCTGGACGGTTTTGCATGGTCTTGCCAACATTGGGAAAAGATGCAGGCAGCTGACTGCACGCAATTTGCGGCACAAATGCCTTGCTCATTGCTGGCAGAACTTCGCTTTCGACAGTTTATCTTTGAATCTGCTGGCCTCCGTGCCAACCTCCCCTGTTGATGATTTCTCATGATGTTTGGAAGGAGTTCGCACCAACAACGTCCTCTTCACAATTAATGATATGTTTTTACAACCACGAGTTGGCTGGCCGAAAGCACCTACGTGTGAAACATCTTTGGATGTCAATCTTCAAACAAACTTCATCTCCTTGTCACCCCATCCTAGAGAAGCCTTGTGCAAATCAAACATCTGCTTGGTGGCCGCGATGATCTTCTGGTGAACTTCATCGATTTGTTCCTCCGTGGGGTTTTCCACCTTGGGAACCTTGGATTTGCGCAACGGGTCTCCAAAAAATCGACATCCCCAGTAGATTCACCATGATTCACCGATATTTCTGCTGGGTTCACCCGAGGGAAAATCATGGAAAATCCCCAAAATCACCCAATCAGCAAACCCGGGGAACCTCAATGACTCGACCAAAGGCCATGGTCACATTCACCCGGCGTGGGATTGGAAGGCCGAAGCGGCCCCAGAAGAGGAAGAAAGAGGCCTGTTTTGGTCAACCCAAACAATACCCCAAAAGGGATGCGGGGATACACGGGCTACATGGCTATTGCACTGGGGGAAGTCTGTCTATCAATGATTCTGTATCTATACATGTAGATTTGTTCGTACCTCTTTCTTGGTCATCATCATGAAGACATTGCACACATGCACACACTGAGAGGCTATCCAATACAGGCACTATCAACTCTTTGCTGTTTGATCTGCAAAGTTTTTTCCGACCATGCCTGCGCCTTTCTGGAAATCGCCTCCAAGATTCCAAAGGAATCATACCAGCAGGAAAAAACCTGGGAAGTAAGAAATGAGACAGGTGTAAAGACGGCGGGAGCAGTGACAGTTGCAGATCCTTGTGATTTGGAATATATTTATATATACATGTCAAACCTGCCCGTGTGCAGGCGAGCAGCTCATGTGCATCAGTTGATATCACACTTACCAATTTTGCATGGGTTCAGATTTTGAAGACATGGAGTCTGTGGGGTTCGGAATGGGCTGCGATCAAAAGAAAGGTCTTGCCTTTCCAATCCTATGTTGGTGAAGATACATCAGCATAATAAGTATAAGACTAATTGTAGAGGCTCTGCCATCCTATCTTCCACTTGTTGACACTCAGTATGACGACGGAATTCAAATTCAGAAACGCGCGAAAGACTGACAAAAGAACAATAACACACACCAACACCACGCAAGTTGAATGACGACTTTCTCTGCCGACCGCCAGGCCGTTGCTTAACATGTGTCATTCCCTTTGGGGGATCTCCACTCTCCGGTCGACTCGGTGGACAAAGAGCTGCAGTGTTGCCGAAGGAGTAGGCAGGGACAATGGGAGTTCCCGTGCGCAAAGCTAACCTGGCAATACCCTTTCTGTCCTTCATGGCCACCAATTCCTTGTCGCCTCAACATGACAGGCGCAAACAAAATGGCTTGGTCGAAGGGAAAACCTACCGGAAAACATTGATTCTGCCCATTCAATATACGGGGTTTCCTGTAATTTTTTCCGGCAACATTCATCCTAAAATAGAATGTACCCTAGTAGTAACATGTATAAACATGATATTGACGTATTAACATGGAACAAATCACTGAAAGTTGCATGCTAACAACTTGGAACTTGGACATGTGCGGCAAAAGGAAACCCCCATAGGGTTGAAGCTGACATCATGCCCCATCACTGTCTTTCTCCCGGAAAGGCCATGGTTTGCGGCATTTTCCAAAGCAGCCCATCATCCTTCAATATCCTTCATTTATTTCATTTTACAGTAACCTTCTCTTCGCCCCTTTCGTCCAAGTGGCTACTAGTCTTAAAGATCCCAGCCACACCGTCAGGGACAATGCCAACGCATTTGCCCTGACGCACGGCCTTTTCGATGGAGTGACGATCCACGGGTACCACGCCATATAAGGTCATGTATCGAAGCATCGGTGTGTGGAAGACAACACTCGCAGCTGCACCAACAAAGGGGCAACCAAGAAAGTTGTTGATGGCTGCGATGCTCAATAAATTGGCAAATGGAAGAACTCCATGGGGCGGGCCAGTGCCGATCCACGGGGCGTTCTCAAAGGAGGTATCAGCTGAATCATCGCACCAAACAAAACGATACGAGAAGTATTTGAACAAAATAGTGGTAAACTTGGACTTGATCAGCATCTTGTTGAAGGCTTCCCCTGGCATAGGATGAAGGGCGAGCACGGCGGCAAGCACGAGAAATGACACCTGCGATGGTCGCCAGGCCCGTGCCATGGATGCTATGTGGTAATGCCATAATTCAACCAAAAAGGGTAATGGTTACAAGAAACATAATGCATTAATCATTATAATATATTATAATACCACAATATACCATAATATACCATAATACTATACAGATTCATACAATTATTTTTGATGATTTATATATATATATATATATATATGTGTGTGTGTGTGTGCATATATATATATATATGCGTGTGCGTGTGCATATAGTTGTACAATATATGTGTGTTTTCCTTGAAACATGCCAGTTGGTTTATGGATATTGATGGCCTTGGCTTTGCCACATTGCCTTCAGAGCAGCTGTTTCCACATTCTACCGTTCTGTATTTCAATTTGTTCCCGTTCCTCGCCTTCGTGAGCCAAGTGCCCCAAAGCAACACAGCAAGGCCACCAAACATCATGAAGAGAGGGCCACCCATGAAAATCAGAAAGACCTTCACCCACGCGTCAAACATGTTCAAACTTACTCACTTACTTAGTCGATCTTACTTGTGAGTGCTGGATCAATGGCAAAAAAGTGAGAAAAAACTAAGCAAACCAACTTGCATCTACATTTAGATTAGCCAAGGCACTCCCATCACCACTAGCTCTTCAGCTAGGGTGATTGATGCCTAACAAGCGTGTTTGGGTTTGGATTGGGCTGGATCTGATAAGCAAATTAAGAGAATTCAAAGTTCCAAGATCAAACATGATCAAACTGCCCAGTCATCTGCTCCCTGCAATCAGGCCTGCGCGGTCAGAGACTTTGGGGGGAAGCCCTCGGGGCCAGTGGTTTTGGTCAGCTTCCTGAGACGCTTTTGCAAGCTGAACAATTGGAAAAGCTCCAAGACAACCCCCCCAAAAAAATGGCATTTTGTATGTACCCAGTATATACAATTATATACAGACTACAGCCATCAGTTGGCAAAATCAAGACATCAAGACCCAACTTTTCTTGGTGGGCAAAGCGTCTTGATGGCAGCTCGCCTCTCTTCAACTGACATGCTAAAGAGCTCTTCCGGTGCATTGAAGGCATGAAGCGCATGGAATTCCTTTGGCGGAGGCATCTCCATCGTGTCTTTACTCATCTCTCCTTGCTGGTTGACCACCCCTATCCGCCCCGTGCGACAAAGGGTTTGGACCAAACACTGGCTGAAAGACAAGACTGGCAAGCTCTTGGTAAATGCCATTCACACACTATCAGACACACTGATGAAACCTTTGCATCCAAATCATCCTATCCTGCCGCTCACAGCGCTGTGTGTGCTGGACCCTCTCTGGAGTCATTGAGAATCATACGGTCAGCTGCCGAAGTAACTACCTGATAAAGCCGTCACGACTATGGGGTTACCACAGGATACTACAGGCACCACTATAGCTGGCCGACAGGTTTGGTTTTCCATGGGTTTCCCGTGGTACAGAAATGGGTTCTGCCTGCAGGAGGATTTGCAGTCCCCCCAGCAGCCAAGACATGCCGAGCCTCCAAATGCTCTCTGGCTGCCTGTGCCTGCCATCTATTGATGATTCAAGAGGGGGATCAGCCACTATAGAGAGACCCTATTGGCATTGAAGTTCCACCATGTACAGTAGCAAGATGTAGCAAGCACCAGAAAGATTGAGATGTAAAATCCTGCTAAAAACGATGGCACTTCACTTTTCTACCTTGTTTGGGGGGTTACTATAATGGATGATATTAATTGAATAACTATGAATAACCTACAATACCCATTGAACATTGTCAGACATGGTGATTCTTTCCACTGCCATGCTTACAAGAGGGTCAGCTAAAGATAAAACTCCGCTTACCGCTGCTCCAATTGGAGTTGCCTGCGGATGTGGGCTGCCCAGAATCGATGGCATTGGCTCATATCCTCAGGATATACCGGGTCAACTCTGCGGCGCACTGGCGCCCACCAGCACATCGGAAGGCACATCATCAAAGCAATCAGTTTCCCTGAAAAGATCTATTCGGTGTATTCCAATTTTTGATAATTTTTGATGGTTCAAGATCATTTTCCTCATTCATCCCTTCCCTGAGTTGGCAGCGATGTCTGCTCTTACTTGGGGCGGCCTCTGAACGCTCCACTGAACACCGTTGGTTTGCTGTCACTATTGTGACATAACAACTTGTAGGACAAATGAGGGCCAACCAATATTCTGAATTTATGAGGTCTGGCCAGAAACAACAACTCACAAATCTGAAATGAAGCTTTTGGGGTTGATTTTCTGTCCTTAATTAATGACGCTGAGGCAACTGCCAATTTTTCACTGGATTCCATCCGAGGCAATCTCGCAGGTCGTTCTGGCACGGTTCAAAGTAGCTCTGGATATCGCTGGATTCATAAACCCTCAGTCCAGTCACATTTGGGGGGTATCACTTAGAATCGGGATTATCACTGATAATCACCGCTTTTTCTGATGCCCTTGTTTTTTTCAAATCCAGACTTGACATTACCGCTGCATCTCGTCACACCTGTGTAGGAAAGTCTAATGTCCTAATTCTGACGATAAACTTCACCACAACTTATCTGTTTTATCGTGCTTTACCAGTCGAAGGGGCATCTACCCGACCAAACCTGACCTTCCAAGATTCCAAGTGCGAAACATCTCGAAAAAAGGTTGAACGCAAATTATGGCAACCCCCATAAACACAAAGAAGTGATTTGATTTACTGTCTTAGTAGGATTTTACTGTTCTATGCTTCCGGGGGTTAGTATGATAAGATAAGATGGTTATTTAATGATTATTTAATAGGTAAAAAAAAGTAAACACTGCATGAATTTCCTGAGATCCTCAGAGACTGGATACGCACTTCCCAATACTTCCCAGCGCACTGGGAGTGCAGGGTGATGGACTTCGCGACATGACCTGCGATGGCACCTGCCCAGAGCGATCTCCCATTTTTTGATGACCGAGAACTGGGAGAAACATGGAGAAACGAGCTGAAATAAGTGAGGGAAAAAATTGACTGACAAGAATTGTCAAGATCTATCAAGATTTCTTGGAGAACAGTGAGAACAAACTGTTATTCAGGCAGCGTGCCGGTTGCCAAAATGTTTCCAAATCAAGGCGCCAGCACTGGAGCTCCTTTGAGCTGGCTGTTGGCTGCTTCTCTTAACTGCTCCGCGGGAAAGCGCTGCTTGTGAACAGCTGAATTGCTAAGAAGTGGTTGGCTTTTGTTGGCATGTCAAATGTCAGCTGTTTTGTCGCTTAGAGCGGGCATGGTTGATTCAACATAGTTGCGGATGTGATTGGAAAGTGCTGTCTTGAAGCCTCGAAGCATCAAACTTTGGGGTGCCTTTGGTCGTTTTCAGCACATTTGAGCCATGCCAGGTCGTAAGGCAGCAAGTTTTTGTCAATGTTTTGGATGAGCCCCAGCCATGTGCTTTCGGTAACCCGGTAACCTCAATCTGCGATTGGACTTTTGGAGATTTTTGGAGATACTTTTCACGAAAATGTCAACTGAAAGCTTGATCTCTGAGATTCTGAGTTGATTTTTGAAAGCATCTGGTGTTCAGTCTGGCGACGCCGGACAAACTCACTGGTGCCATTGTGGTGGCTAAAACGTTGCGAACAAATTGACTGTGGCACCAGTGAGCAGCACACAAGAGCTAAGCCACATTCGTGGCACGCTCTGATAGAGGCTCTGGACTTCAAAGCGTCTAAAGGGCTCTGCTAACCTGTGATGTGAATATTCTCAGAACATCTCAGAACCACCTATTGTACTTTGATGTACTTTGTAGCTTCAGCTTCAGTGCCAGAAAGGAAGCATCACCAAGGACATTAATAGGAATCCAGCTCCCAGCACAGGCGAGCTCAGTGTAGGCCAATGCGCATGGCCCACACTTTTGGTGACACGCTAGTTGACACAACTCGAGGCAGTTTCATGTACGAAGCCGACAAATCAATGCTTCATTTTAAATGCGTGGGCATCTGTAATGCAAGTAGATCTGAAACTTGGGCTGCGTTGTTCTGGTCTCCAGCCGTCGAATTGCCGAGGGCTACTACAGTACTATGCACGTGAGCCAACACCATTGGCGAAATGCAACCTTTCGCACATGCGCAGGTTGAAACATGTTGAAACTTTACAGCTTTTCTTGTCAAAGCTTTGAAGAGGCAAAACGACAGGAGATGCGAGGTGGCAGCTTCCCGTGCTGATTGGTGGTTTCAACATTCCAACCCTTTTTAAAGAGGTTTGTCAATCCGGATCATCCTCCAAGATGGGCTGAGCAGAATATAACAATATAATACAATACATGTTGAAGAAAACCACCAGCCAAACATGTTTGTTTGCGGGGCATACTGATCAAATACAACGAGCCAACACATTTCCCAAACCAGCGGTCGGTTCCTGCCAGCGGCCCGCCAAAGCAGTGTCGGACCATGGTCGAAGTCTTGAGCATATTTGCGAAATCTGGGGGAGTACATGAAATTGATTGTCATTGCTTTAAAATTAAACAAAGATCACATTGGAAAACTCTGAGTCAGTTGATGTCAGTTGTAAATGTTGTTTTCCCATTCCACAGTGATTTATTGCGTCGGATTACGAAATTCGCCTTCTGCGCCGCGCTTTTGGTCCGTTGATCCTGGGAGGCGATCGCCGGGCTCAGTGCATGAACTCAAAATTCCTCAGCGCGGTGGACATGTTTTCTTGCATTTTCTTGCTGCAACTGTGCACATATACGTGCATGAAAATGTAAGTAAATATATTTATATAATATATATATATCTCTCTCTCTCAAGGTCATGTCCACTTGAACATACCCTGTTGGTTGCTTCCCCATCCCCAAAGTATGAAAGTCAGGATCATCGAAAAGCCATGTCAGCCAGAAACGTGCTGTCAGGAGAAAGGCGGCTCGCTTTGTTTTGGTTGGAAGGCCACAATTCAGGGCTCAAACACTGCAAGTTTCCGCTGGTTCTGATGGAGTAACCAAGGAACAGCATGGAAAAAGTGCTGCAAATGCATGAGATGCCTTTAAATTTAAGCATGGAGGTCAGTCTCAGTCTCTAACAAAAATCACACACAAGGCCTCTTAATCTTGGTCCCATTCCGGGTGAAGACCGTAATGACCATGGAAAAGCAAATTCCAATGAAATCCCAAATGGCTAAAAGGAGCAAACAACCAACCTTTTGGGACAAGCATCGAAGAAGCCTTCCCTTTCAGCATGAGGATCCTTTGGTACTGCGCCTGGCCCACACTGCAACCCCAATGCTTGCCATATCTGTATAACACTGCATTGTCTGTCCAGTCCCGTATAAGAAAGTTCCGCTACGACATCTGTAAAAAAACGAGTACTTTGCAAGCATACAGCACGCCTAATATAATCTAATTTGCCTACTATGGGGTCCTATGGGCATAGACATGTCTATTCATGGCGCAATTGCATTGCCATGGGTTTGGACTCTTCACAGCACTTGGCCATTCCTTCTGCAAACTTGTTCAATGAATTGGCTTAAGGGAAATGAAACATGCGAACATGTGCAGGAAAATGCAGGAAACCATGGTCTTTACTGTTTTCTTTTACCCGGAAAACATGTGCGGGTTTCCTGTAAGATGTCCCATGATTTCCCTTAAACCGGTTCTGGGACTTGGAACATCAAACTATCAATGGATTAGTTCTTGGGACATTTTACAGGACATATTTTAGACTAGACCATGATTTTTCCCTGAAAAAAAAACAAACGGTTGTGGGAAACTAAGCTGCGCACCAGTTGAGATCCAGTCATGACTTGTTCAGCTTGGGAGTCGGTGGCATTGATCATCACGAGGTCCCGCACCAGTTTATACCTCGCAGGTATGGTGTCGTTCACCAGCGGTGATTCACCAGCCACTAGCAAGTACATGGTGGGGTTTTGCACTTAATGCATATAGATAGATAGATAGATAGATAGATAGATAGATAGATAGATAGATAGATAGATAGATAGATAGATAGATAGATAGATAGATAGATAGATAGATAGATAGATAGATTAGATATTTATACATTCTATAATTATATATATATATTATATATTGAAGTATATCAAGAATGTGTTCACCACAGCAAATTTTCTGTCAAGTGTTTGTCCAGTCTGAAATGTCTCATCAAAGATATCAAAGCAATCAAACAGCAAGGACTAATTACTACTGATTACACCTAATAACATGCTCTCATCCTCGGCTATCTCTGTGGCAACAATGGCAAAAACGTCTATATATGAACTGAACCCATCTGCAGAATTCTGCAGCCATGTTGCACATCACCTTGCGCTGTCACCAGGGCCGACCGAGCAGTGCTCACTGCATCTCGCTCAATGCGCTGTCTGTCAGCCTGTCCCTTTTGCTCGATGACTGTCCTCGGGCACAAAATTGGTGACATTGATCATTTGACAAAAGCTACAATCAAATGGATGCGTGACACCGCAATTAGTCATTAATGTCCCTGGACCTTGCTGTAGTGGATCTGTTGATGTTTTACATACTGGTACGGGGGAAGCCTTGATTAGTTGAATGACTATTCACCTACATTACGCGATATTACACTTTATTACACGATCGATATTGTGAGATACTACAAGAAATACACCATGTAAGATCTATGATATAGTCATATATATAGTTCATAAAATTTCATAAAGCTCTCAGACAGCGCCAGCAGTGACCACTGGCCAACCACTGCCCTTGAGGCAAGCTACACATTGGCCACCTTGGAAGGTCAAGCAGCGCTTCAGCACGGCAGAAATGTTCGACTAAAATGGATTGGTTTGGTGAATGTCTTTCCTGAAATCGTTTGTGCCTGTTATAGTCTGTTCTTACCACCACTTATATAATCTTATATAGACTATTTACACCAACTCCATTTCGCCCTTTGGCTGGTGAAGTCCACTTGCTTCCCGCCATTTAAATGAGGTGCCCACGAACCTCCGCCAACCCAAATTTGCTCATGTTCGGCCACAACTTTAAATCATCATAAATCAGCATAAATCATCATAAATCATCAATCATCATAAATCATCAATTTGCTGGGGTGGTAGTTTTGACTCAGATTTGATTCAACTTCCTTGAGGTCCGGACGTATTCAGCAAGGAGCACCTCGGTCTTCTGGCGGTACTCAGTTTGAACCTGTCTGGCCACAGCTGTCTGCTCGGCCTGCTTCCTGTCGCGTTCGGAACATGCAAGAGCAGGCTGGGCCCAAATGAAAATCAGTCAGATTCAAGCGGGAAATAATCAAAACGGTAGAAATGCAAAACCAAGAACCAAACTACTTTTCACATTGTTCTATCATTTTTGGGTTTACTATACACAACACAGATAGACAAAGGTCACACAGTGGTTAACCAAAGTTTCGAATTCAGCGGTTGGCATCAGCATGTGGTAGCATCAGCCTCTTCTTGCCAGACAACAAGATAATGCAATACTAGTTACTAATAGTTACTAGATGCACCCCTCAAAACTGATGGAAGATATCAAAGATCCTTGCAACGAAACTTCACCCCCGCAGGACAGTTAGCACGAAGTTAAGGGGATGCCCCTGAAAACTGCCATGGAACAGTCATGGAACGCCCAGAAGGGCCATGTCCAACAAGGCAATCATCTCCAGACCGCATGGTTGCCGTTCCATGCTTGCTTTCGGGGGGGGTATGAGTTTGGGATTGTCAAAACCAACTCCAAAACCCATAGGATCCATGTATGGTATATATGCTAACATTGGGGGTATATTGATGGGATCCATGTTACCATATATAGCAGCACCATGGATCCGTCATGGGAAATGACACTTAGCTCAAACCGGACGTCCTGACTTGAGTTCGAACCAGCTGATTTTCATACTCCGCTTGCAAGCGGATGCCCCAAAGCTGGAGACCCCAACCTGGGTGATCAGAAAGAAAAGAGGGGCGATGGCGATGACGATAACGATGACAATGGGGAGGAGGATGATGATGATTATGATGATGACGACGATGATGATAATAATATATAGTAATTATGATGAATGGATATGAATGGTTCCTGCTGCTGCTGCTGCTGCTGATGGTGAGGTTATGATCATGGCAATGACATGATCGTGGCCGGGGCTGGGGTGGTTTTTGGAGCACAAACCTAATGGGATGGACCCATTGAACCTGGCAGACTGAACATCTTTGCCTGGCAGAATTCACATCCAAAGAACTGCAAAAATCAACGTCTCAAATCAGCAGGATTCACCACAAAATGGGTTAACATGAGTTAACTCCGCCAAGGTACAGTCAGCATAACGTGGAGCAAGGACCTCTTTACAGATGTTATGCATCCTGATCTGCACCGAGGCATAGTCTCTCCAGGCCTGGCTCATCAGCGCTCTACATCGCCCTACTCAGCGCTCTCCAGGCGTTCTCAAAATTGTGGACCCCAAAAACCAAGGGTAAACAACATGTAAAAACCATGTTTTCCTATGTTCAAAACATGTCAAAAACATCATTTGGATAAAATTTGTGGGCCCCCCATCTTAGATGCAGTCCCACATGTCTTGTTGGTTGATGATCCCCTATGAAGTGGCCTCCAGCGACAGGTAAGAAAGTCTGATGTGCATCCTAGCGAATCCCACTTGATAAATGGCCAAGAGAAAAAAAACCGCATATCAACACTGAAGATATTAAGGATTACCCTCTGGTAATTTAACATAGCTATGGAAAATCACCATTTTTTATGGGAAAATCCACTATAAATCATTTCCCTATCGGTAATTGGTGGGGGGGGGTTGGACCCTGGTTTAATTTCTTTAATTAAACGGGGTCCCCTGCAGTATGGTTTTTTCCAAAATTTTTCAGTCAAACATAACCTCCGTTTATTTTTAACATAAGAAATTAATCCAGAAAACTTCCAGTTAAGGTCCCACCCAACATCCCCCAGCTAAAAATTAAACAAGCTACTCGGCAGTACCTGGTTTAATTTTACAGGATCATTGGGTTGATTTTGTTTTGCCAAGACCAAATATTAAATCACCTGGTTCTACACATGCCAGTGAGACTTGGTGTAAAAACAGTTGCGCCCACCATTTCTCCCCCCAGGTGCGTGGACCAACTCAACTTTCTCAAAATTAAACCCCATGGTTTAATTTCAGCTGTTTTAGCTCATTGTGCTGCCTCGTGTTCCGCCTCGGGATACTGCAGCCATGGTTCCTGACACGTGTCCTAGCACAGCTCCGTGAAGACGATCCGGCGTGGACAGCAAGGTTCTTGCACAGTTGGGATCAGCATTGCTGCAGCCCAAATGCTCCATCTCAAGCAGAGCAAGTCCATGGGAAAGGCGCTGCGGGACCATGGTAAACTGTTTCTATCTGTTTCGGGCCCCTTGCGTGATCCCAGATCAGGTCAGAATAATTAATCAAGGGGTGGGTGAGTCCATACGTACTGAACATTCATTCATCAGGACACCTTTGGCACCATAATATTCATGGGATTTATGGTCACCAGAATAATTAAACAAGGGGTGGGTGAGTCCACATGTACTGGGCATTCAGGATCAGTTCTTCCATTGGGGCGCCCCCAACACCATAATATCATACAATATCCATGGCATTGATGGTCACCAGAATAATTAAACAAGGGGTGGATAAGTCCACATGTTCTTGGCATTCATAAAGATTCATGTATTGGGATACCTTTGGTGTTATCATGATTCATTGTTTTTTCTTGAATTTTCATCTTTGGTCATCACAAAGGAAGGAACCTGATGGAATCTCATTGGACTTGCTACTTTCGAATTATTTTGACACCTGTATCTCACCAATCTCTCTCATTGAAGGTTGCTCATTTGCCTCCTTCTTGCATGGTGGAGAACCTTGCTGTCCACGCCGGATCGTCTTCACGGAGCTGTGCTAGGACACGTGTCAGGAACCATGGCTGCAGTATCCCGAGGCGGAACACGAGGCAGCACAATGAGCTAAAACAGCTGAAATTAAACCATGGGGTGGGTCACATCTCAAAATTAAACCAACTCAACTTTCTTCAGGATCTTAAGGAGGTGGGTGGACCCCCTGTTTTCGTAAGATTTTTTAAATTAAACCAAAAAAATTAAACCTAACTCAGTGTCCACCTGGTTTAATTTAGCTAGTGCATCCCACATTATAAATCACCATTTTCAAAAGCTATGTTAGTTTACCAGAGGGTAAGGATTTACCAAGCGGGGGTCATTCATCACTCTCGGCCATATCCCATGATATTCCCATTATATACATTCCCACAAACTGGATGAAATACTGGATGATTTGCTCTGAATTTTGGTGGCTATTTATGCTATTTATCTGTAGGATTCAAAATGTCATCCCCCACTGTGTTCTGAATCATTGTGTTTCAACCCCTCCTTGAGATTATTGCTACTAGTACAGCCTTCAAATGCTTAGTAACAGTAACTAAGTATAGGCTTAATGACTTCATGATCCCTTCCCCCTGATATGAAATACCAGCCCGGAAATCCTTGGTTTGGATCTATTTATATATTCTAGGAGCCCGAATGAAGGGTACTCGATATTAGGAGGGTTGAAATTGTCTGTGCACTCCTACTTGAAATGATAAATGCTCAATTTGTGAGCCCCGAAAAAGATCCCTACTGGTTGAATAGATATTCCTATATTCATCTATATTCCACATTCTGGGCTGCAATCATCACCCATAATTAAGCCACTCAGTGTAAGTTCCTATACCAACCAATTAGCAGTGATATGTTCAATTGATCCCGCCTCGTCGATGGTGAAGTCATTGGTGATGCGCTGCAAGGCTCCGCGAAGTTCTGAAATGTAGACGTCTTCATAGAGCTTCGTCATGTCCCTGGAGCATGTGGGGCACTGGAAAGACAGGAAATCCATGGATAATTAATCCCCTGAGATCCCCTGATTTTCATTTTTGGATTGGAAACCTGGGCCTCCAATTTCTTTTGCTTGTCTCAAAATGTAGTGTATACCCCAATTGATGGCCATGAAACACTGGGGAATATCTGGACCAACTTTGAACCATGGGAATTTTTGTATTTCCAAGTTTGCAACCCCATCTCCTGGCCGAAACCCTCCAACAGCAAGCGGAGAAAACAGTCAAAACTCGTGAACATGGCCATCTGGCGATAGTTAAAATTGGCATGTTCTTTACCTTTTCTTTATCTTCAAAAGAGCCCTAAGATTGCCCGTGATTCCAGCCAACAAGCTACCCATTGGTAGAGCAAAAAACCTATTCCAAAACCTCACATCCAAGAAGATGGACGGCTTTCCCGCCATTGCCTGTAGATATCTGGCAACTGTTCTTTCTTAATCTTGTACCTGGCGACATGGGCGACGCCCGATCTTGACTTGGTGAACATGTCCTTCTGTCCTTCATCATCACTTTCTCAGGACAAAAGAAGGGTCACTTCAGAAACTACATGTTCATGTTTATACATGTTTGTACGCATACATGGTATATAGCATCTATTTATTCAAATGTGTGCGTGATGTATATATAAATATCTTATACACATACTAAAAATAGATAAAATAAACAAATCAATAAATAAACATATATTCATATATACATAGTATATAGTGAGTATTTATTTAAGTTTGTGTGTGTGATGTATAAAAACAGTATATATATATGTATATATGCAGAGTATGAAAATACATAAATAAACAAACAAACAAACAAATATCATATATATATATTATATTAAAAAAGAATAGTCAAATTAGACTACATATGATCATCCTCAAGTTTTGATGGCAAATCCCCAATTTTCGCCGGTTAGATCAGCTAGATCCCCATTAATTGGAAACCCGACAAAAATTCTGCCAAGTTTCTGCACGGAGACATCAAGCCAGATCTGTTTTCCGTCCTTGTCGCGGGACCTTGGGTTTCACACAAGGCGTGAAAGCCGGAAGAACATTAAGATTCATATGCAAAGCTCGGGGGATGTAAGATTCATTAAGCAAAACACATGAGCTCACATGGCTATGTTTGATACCAGTAATTACCGATATGATGCGCCTTCGGCAAACATGGGAAAAAAATGAGTTCCATAGTGTTTGCTCTGGGTTTGCCACACATCAAGGGCATGTATCGAACATGTATCAACCTGCATGACCTGCATCGATCACGATTGGTTGAGCCCCTGGGCCCCTGACCGAAGCTTCCCCAGCTTTTGCACACCAGCCTCCACAGCCTCGTCGGCAAACTCCTCAGGATCAGCTGTGGTGGATAGGCTGGCAAATGCTAACGCAATGTTCTCATAAGTTGTTTATCCCCGTCTGTGCTCCAACGTGGGGTACAGTCCTAGAAAAAAATCGGTCTAAAATTATGACCCCTAACCTTTGAGAGAGGTTTTAGAGCTTTAAATTCCTGGCTCCTAACCTCTGAAGCCGAAATCTCACTTCCAACGACCTTTTTGATTTTTTTTTGCTAATTTCCTGGTGCCCAACGTCCAACATCCAATAAATTTACCCCTCTGGTATCCAAGTAAAAAAATTATTTCCTGGATGCTTGCGTTGGTAACATGCCATATCTTCCCCCCCCTCAATCTGATACGGAAAAAAATGAATTCCTGGCACCTGACTTCCCGGCTGACAGCTCGCAGTTTTTCAGAATCCACGGCTTCACGAATGCGGTCCGGCAGATGCCCACGGCAATGCGCAACCCTTTTGCATGGACAAATGCATCTTCAGGAAAAAACGCCTGTTTTGCAATTTGGCCACACGTTGGAACAAAATTCTTCAATTTGTCCCATCATTTCCTATCTATGGATGGTTGACCTGGTGATGCGATTTTTTTCCTGTGGGGCCAGCCTTTGAAGATCATGCACAAGAATTCGGCCAAAAAAAGGTCCAGCCCCTTGGATTTTATTTTTGACACCTGCGCCTCGGCCTCTTCAAGTCACCTTTTTTTGGTTGGTGAAGCTGAACATATGTGGTTGTACCAAGGACAAATGTATTTTCAGAAGAAAAAAAACGCCTGTTTTGCAATTTGGGCGCGTTGACACAAAATTCTTGAATTCGTCCCATCATGTCCTATCTGTGGATGATTGGCCTGGAGATGCGACTTTTTTCCTGTGGGCCAGCCAACCTTTGAAGATTATCCGCAAGTATTCAGTCAAAAAAAGGTCCAGCCCCGTGGGTTTTATTTTTGACACCTGCGCCTCGGCCTCTTCAAGTCACTTTTTTGGTTGGTGAAGCTGAACATGTGTGTCTGTACCCTTTTGCAAGGACAACTGTATTTTCAGCAAAAAAGCATGTGTTTTGCAATTTGGGCGTGCGTTGACACAAAATTCTTGAATTCGTCCCATCATGTCCTATCAGTGGATGATTGGCCTGGTGATGCGACTTTTTTCATGTGGGCCAACCTTTGAAGATCATCCGCAAGTATTCAGTCAAAAAAGGTCCAGCCCCTTGGATTTTATTTTTGACCCCTGCGCCTTGGCCTCTTGAAGTCACTTTTTTGGTTGGTGAAGGTGAACATATGTCTTTGTACCCTTTTGCAAAGTCATGTAAAGAATCATACCCACTCAATTAATCATGGTACATGTTTTCCTGGGGTTTGACATTTAGATATGTTCTAGTAAACTCCCATTTGATCCATCCACCTTCAAATTCCTGGCTAATAACCTTGGGAATTCTACAAACTTACCCGTTATCAGAGTCATTCATGATTGATTTCCTGATGCCTTACATACACAGACTGATAGATCAACCCCCCCTCAATCACAACAGGCAGAAATTGATTTCCTGTCACTGTACGTCAGGAAGCTTTCAGGAAAAAAAATCTGGGCCTTTTTTGGTATGATATTTTATTCCTGGCCCCATATCATGCCCCGGGACCCTCACCCACTGTCTGCTAGATTTTTGGAAAATAGTGTTTTTTAAAAAGCGTACTGAATCCCCAGGAAAAAAAACTGGTAGTACAGAGGAGGGTGTTGTTTTATGGTATATTTATATGATTTTATATGTATTTATACACTGTTGATGGATGCTCATCAACTTATTGTTTTGCTCCATGTTTGCCAATTCCCGTTTGAACGAACTTCGACGGAGAAGAGGAATCAACTTTATGCTCTACGCTGACTTGCAGTTGCAGCAGGAGGCAGTACTATGTCAGTAATGTTAGGGTAGGATTAATAAAACCCCCCAATTAATCATACCCGTTTTCACCGGAAATTTTGGGGCAATACTAAAGTCCTCTACGTGCTGATTTCCCCCCCCTAATAACACAAAAAAAAAAACAAATAAATCATACCCCTCCGGGATCCCCAAATTCTTGGTGGGACTAATTTGCTATTACTCCCTTTTACTTTTTAATTCGGGTTACAATTTCCAGAATTAATTAATGATCCTGTCTTAATTATCTTATCCTACTTGAATTCGTCTCATGCTGGCGCATGTTCCTCATTACTAGTTCATGATGGTCAGATTGAGGAAATAAGGCAACAGCAGCAAGTACATGTGACGTCATGTGACAACGCAAACATAATCCACAACACCTTGAAGCATTGTCCCTAAATCCCCAACAACGGCGGACTCCGACCTTGCATAAGGATACAATGGATCTACTTGACATGAAGCTGTCAGCATTCTGTTAGCATTCTGCCACGGCCGAGGATCGATTGTATTCAAGGTGGTGGGAAATTGCAGGAACTCGTTCCAGAAGCCCACAAGATAGCCTGACCCGCCATTTTTTCAGCGAAGTTTTGTTTGTTCCGTCCACCAGATCCCATTGTGCCATTGCCACCAAGGGGCGGCCCGGGTCGTAGCTACCTCAAGGTGCCCAATTGCACATTCCCAAGCGGCCCGTGGCAAACAAGCCGGGCAAATTGTTTTTCGATTTCAAGAATGATATCCATCAAATTCCATATATATATATATAATTATATATATATTTATATCATTTTATATCAATTCCAGTTTTGATTGTCAAAGGATGTCAAAGGGGAAACCACATCCAAAACGAAATGGACCACCAATGGACCACCGACTAAGCACCGGAGCTCAGGCGTGGACTCTCCAAATTCACTTCTCCAGTGAGGCCATTTCGCAACAAACCAGCATTTAGTCGGTCTACCTGGGACTGAATTCATGGAGTTTCTGACACCCTGCAAAATCGATCGAAATCTTGTAAACATTCTAGGGCTACAACCGGCTACTGTATCTGACTTGAAGTTGATATTGGAGCCCTCTCTTCCAGATTCATGTCAGCAAAGCTTGCCAACCCTGAAGGCAAGCAGGCACTCCTCCGCTAAGACGTCAGAAAATCGCGCAAAGGCATAGGCCTATGCCTATACCTATGAGACCATTTTTGAGGGGACTGACCTCCATTTGGCTGCAAGTTGTTTGGGGTTCACATGTGTTCACCGACAAGGTTTTTGTCTCATCATACTTTGCCTTGATGAACTGTGTAGATCTGTGCAGTCCATCAGTGCGCCCGGACCAGCCTGCTGAAATGAACAAACGAAGAGAATGAAGAGCACGAACCAGGTACATGAACAGCAGCAAATACCACATCTTGTCTGGCGGTGGAGAAAGGCTCAAGAAAGGCCCATCAAAGGGCTGTCTCAAAAAAATAACTGCAGATTCTGTAGATCACGTTATTTCGCAAACCAATAATATCCAATAATTCTGTATGCAGGGACCATCACGAATCCCAGTAGGGCAACTTGTGATATCACGTCCCTGCAAGCGAGATCTCCATCTCTTACTGTAGTTTCATTCACGGAATGCCGGCAGTGAGGAATCCCAGTGTCTGTAACTTGGAATGCCAGTACCTCAACAAAAATCCAGTTGCAGGCACTTACCTCAGCCACAACCTCGCCTCCCCTTTGAGCTCATAGAATTCATGGACCCTGAAGTCCTCAGGAACAAGCGTCACATCAAACAGGGACAACCATCTGTTGCTGCAGCTACTCCGCATCACAGATATTCATCAAGTGCTCTCTCATCCTTCTTGTACTTTCACAGGTTGCTTGCAAATCTTTCAAAATCTTTCAAACAAGTAAATAGGTGACCTAGGTGACCTGACTTTCACTTTAGCTGGAGTCCAACCACCACCTTGCGCCTGGAAAACCGTCGAAGCCAAGAGTCCATGATCCCCATGGCGGCAATTTTTTGCGAACCCAAGATTGAAACTCGAGCTTCAAGCAGCTGCGCAGCTCAAACCAAGGAGCATGGTCTTTGGGTTATGGTTAGGTTAAACAACTGCCAAAACTGCCCCCAATCATTCTCATTGCACCCGGAAAACTATGACCTTGCATTTCCAGGTGGATATACAACTGAAATCGGCACATGCAGAAACTCAGCAACTCGCAGTTTTGCAAACTAAACTGTGAAGGATCTACTCCGGTGGTGTCAAGACCTTGAAAGTCTGGGTGAGAATCCTCTGCGAAGCTCAAATGTGCTCGGGCATCTCTTCCGCATCAGTACATCCTCGCAAAGCACAGACCCAAAGTTCAAGCCTGTTTGAAGACTCTTTTCTGATGCAGTTGACTCCCGCACTCTGCCCAAAAAGCTGTGCGCATGGTCCTACATGATAGGGCATGTAATCACACCCCAACAATGAACAAACCCGATCTCGAATTGGATTTCCCTTCGGGGATCGTTCGATTTCTACTCCATTTTGGACAAATCCATTTCATTCCATTTCAACCATATGATATTAGAGGGGAAACTGTGCATGATCGAATCTGATCGAATCAGCTGCGGCCTGGGTTGCTGTTGCATGAAGCCCTGCTGCTGCAGCTGCTGCTGCTGTTGAAGCTGAAACTGCTGTTGCTGTTGCTGTTGCTGTTGCATCTGCATGTACTGTTGCTGCGAAAATGTTGGTTGCCCGAACTGTTGCTGTTGAAGCTGCTGAAACTGCGGCTGCTGGAATTGCTGTTGCTGATACATTTGCTGCTGGAATTGAGGCTGCAGAGATGGCTGGTATTGGGAACCCATTGGCTGGAGAGATGATTGGGACATAAAGCCCTGCTGCTGCTGCTGCTGCTGTTGCTGCTGATGCAGCTGGAATTGCTGGTTCTGTGGCAGCAGGCAGTTCGAATTGGAAGGTATGTTCGAAGCCATGTTCGAAGCCTGGAAAGTTTGCTGCGGTTGGAAGCCTTGCTGGAAGTTGTTTTGAAAGCCCGTCTGACCCGTCGGATAGATCTGCTGATTCTGCTGATCTTGTTGGAGCATCTGCTGATGCTGCTGCATTTGAAGCTGCGCTTGCTGTGCCAGCCTCGGAACAGGGAACATGAACAGGAAAGGTGGTACGTAGTTGTATAATGTTGTATAATATGTCATAGTTATGAGTTATGATATGAGTCCTGAAATTTATGCTTGGAGTTCTGTCTGTGGCATGGCAATTGTCAAAGTGGTCAAGACAGAAGATTACAAAAGATTGACGCCCACTGACTCTGACTTGAAGCTTCCAGAATGCCTCTGTAGGAGAAGGTGCAAGAAAGTTGCTCCACCCATCACTTGAGTACTGTACCGTTGGACTGGCACCATCTGAGTTTCAAACATCTGTTGGGTTTGTTGAGCCTGGAAGGCACGCAGCTGGTCGGCCTCACATTGGTGACTGGATGTGACTGGAATGAGAAGAAAAGCTGCCATCGGTGGATAACTGAGATTTGGGGCCTACAATTCTTTGATTGAGAGAAGAATGATTAACTGTTGCAATTGGGGAATGGGTAATATGGGGTAATTATATAATAAACATTAATAAACCCATTTCCAGACAAACCCACATTGAGGACTCATATATCTGAGGAATGTGTGCCATGCATTCCTCACTCTCATGCATTCCGGGCATCACACGGTGTGCTGGATCTGGTCATTCCTTATCAGGCGTTTTCCGTGGCGACGTGGCATTTCAATGAATCCAGTGATGCAAACCCCAAAGAAAACAGTGGCAGTTGGTGGTTTCAACTGGTTAATATGTGGTTAACATATGGTTTAAATCCAGTGATGCAAACCCCAAAGAAAAGCATTAATATACCATGAATCAAGCCGGGTGACACAATGGAAGATAGTGAAGGTCCTGAAATCCCATTCGTCTCCTGCAGCGCGGTTCCACGATGGCGTCTCTCTCAGATTTCGCCATGGTGGGCAAACGCAACCAGCAAAACCAGCATATGCTGGTGAGGAACCCTCTGGTTTCCTGCAGATTTAACCAGTATCGATCCGTTGAGTGACACATAAGTTAGATCAAGTTAAGTTATACCTCCTACACTCCTACACTATCCCAATCACGATTGGATGATTTTCCCCAGTTCAATGTGGTTGTTTGGTTTGGTAGTCAGCCCATGCGACTTCGGACCAGTGATGTCTCCAACTCCTGCTGAAGATGCGTCGGCGGCTCCTCTCAAGGCACAGCAAAGGCCAACACCAAGGATGGTCTTCATACAATCCACGGTTGTTGCTATGTATGTGTGTATATATATATATAGATAATTATATATGATATATATATATATATGTGTGTGTGTGTGCAAGATGATAAATACATTTCAATAATGCGAAACTTACAAATAGCCTTTGTTGTTTGCATTCATAAATGTTTGCATTTGGGTTCCACTCTCAACTTTTGGGTACAAAGCTGCGCATCAACATTATCAGCACTAGCATGCGATTTTGAATGATGTTGACATGCTATTTGAGCATGCTAATGCTGTCCTGGCGCAAAGCTTGCAACCTCTTTGTTTCTTCCTCCTTTTTCTTTGCTTCAGCGGCCGCAGACTCCGCAGCTCTCAACGCAGCTTGCCGTTGCAGCTCCTCATGGATCTGCTTCTGAATTTGCTCTTGTTCCTCTTTCTTACGCTGCTCTTCCTTGCGTTCCTCCTCATGCTTCATCAATTCCTTCCTGTCCTGTCAAAATTAGGGAAAAATCGAAAATCCAAACACAAAATACATCAAAATACGGCCAAGCACCAACATACGGTGATCCTTGTGCTGTGGTAGGTGCATGCAGCTGTGATTTCAAGTGTTGTTTCTATTTCTGTGAGCCCTTCGGTTCATCCTGCAAACTGATCCATTAAAAACACATGTTTTCCTACATTACTTGCCACGGACCCCCCACAAACTGAGAATACCCTCGATGATAAGATCATATAAGATCTAATTAAGATCTAATATCGTTAAGTTCTACAGTCACTATAGTCTATAAATAGTCTATAAATGTAAAGGCTTACATACCTTGCTCACATCCCCTCTGACATCCACTCCACTCACATCCCCTCTTCACGTTTTTTGGCTGCGATTTCCGCGTGTTTCTTCCTTTCTTCCTGAAATCTCATGCGTTAACAGGTTTCATCTCCCAATATCTCATACCAGAATGTTAGTCCCTTCAAACAGAACGGAAAATCATGATCCGTTCTTTAAAATCAGCCCCGGATTACACCAAATGCATCAAATGCATCGACGTCGCAGGATTTTGGATCAAAATCCTGCCCCTGATTTTGAAATCAAAATAGCAGGAAAACGGCAAGGTGGTGCCACCCACTTATGCTGGTTTATACAGTAAACCCATCTAACTATAATAGATTACTATGTGTATATTATGTGTATATATATATATTTATTTATGTATGTAAGTGTATGTAATGTTATTGTGTGTAACTGTGTCAAATTGTATGTAACTTGCATTATGTAACTGTATGTATCTAAATGAATGAATATATATGTAATTGTATGTTATTGTAATGTTATTGTATGTCATTGTATGTAATTGCATGTAATTGTATGTAACTGTATGTAGACATATGTAATTGTATGTAATTGCATGTACTTGCATGTATTGTATGTAATTGTATGTAACTGTATGCAATTGTATGTAAATGCATCATGGCATGTTATTGTATGTTATTGTATGCTATTGTATGTTATTATTGTATGTTATTGTGGTGTAATTGCATGTAATTGAATGTAATTGTAATATATTGCATGTAATTGTATGTAAATGCATGTTATTGCATGTAATTGTATGTAATTGCATGTAATTGTATGTAAATGCATGTAATTGCATGTAATTGTATGTAATTGTATGTAATTGTATGTAATTGTAATATATTGCAAGTAATTGTATGTAAATGCATGTAAATGCATGTAATTGCATGTAATTGTATGTAATTGTATGTAATTGTATGTAATTGTAATATATTGCAAGTAATTGTATGTAATTGTATGTAATTGTAATCTATTGCAAGTAATTGTATGTAATTGTATTTAATTGTAAAATATTTCATGTAACTGTATGTAAATGTATGTAATTGATCTTATTGTATGTCATTGCGTTTCATTGCCTGTAATTGTGTGTAGTTGTGTGTAACTGTATGTAGTTGTATAAACATAATAAAGCTGCTCGGCTCATATCCTCAAAATGGTGAAGCCCCATTTTAGGAGCGTGAAAAAAAACCCAAAGTTTAACATGTCACAATGTGTCTATGACATGATGTTGTACTAGTTTTCTAGATTTTTCTAGTTTATATGGATGTACATGGATGGGATGTGGCCTGTTTGGGTTCCAGCTAAGGTTTGTGAGGCAAATACCAAAAAAGAAACCTTTTGCGGATCCATATCGATCTTGTCTCGGCACCTCGGCTTTCCGTTTCTCATCCATTTGGAGTTCCTCATTGAACCTGCAACTGCCCCAGTGTACTCTACCGGGCTTGGCCACATACATTATACCTGGCATATCATGGCATATCTACATGAGGGGTAAACCAGTGCATGGCCCATCATGGGGAGTTGATGATAACACTGGACAAAAATATGGACACATCTGCGGATGGCTTTGAAATATGCGATAGATATACATAATTAAAATATGTAGTTATAGGAAGGATCTTGTAAAAGAAACAAGAAAAACAATAATAATAATTGCAACTAGTAAATAAACGGGATTTTTTACGTATGCAAAAATCATTGCGTATATAAAATATAATCACATCTACATGTATTATTTATATACCATTAATAGCTATTGCACACACACACATATATATATATATGTTTATGTATATTACTAAGTGGACAAAATTACTTGTTCATGTTCATACCATGCACACCTTAGGGCCATCCCCTATCGGTAGGATTTCTGCGTTCTCAGACTTTGAGGCGACTCATGCAAAACAGGCGTATTGGTATAGGGTCATCCCCTATTGGACATCAAGATTTTGCACACCCCTCAGCAAGGCCAAGGCGAAGCAAAACTAAATTAGTATTACAATAATTTTGCCGGTTGCTCTAAAATAGTTATCTGATTTTATATAAAAAAAATTGAGTGACATCTGGTGTTCTGCTCCAGGCAGAAGATGAAGCCGTGTACACCTGCGCATGTTTTCTTTATCTTGTCGTTCTTTCTTCAGCCTCTCCTCCTCCTGGTGAATCATAGAACACCATGTGCCCACGCCATTGGGATCCATCTGGATCCATTCTGATTTTGACCTAGCTAGCATACAATGATCACATCAAGCAGGAAAAAACAAACATGCATAGACATGGATGACATGGGAGATGTGTGAATTCCAAGTTGTACGAGAACTTGTCCAGAAATAAAATCCGAACTGCCTGGCGTTATGCCCCCCCAAGAAAATGCCTGTGTCCTCACATTAGCATGTGGAACATGGAACAATGTTCCTCCCTCAGTAAGGCAACGATCAAATAAGAGATAGGACATTTTGTAGAATCGGTAAAAGCACGAAACAAGAGCCCACCCAGCCAATTCCAACGCTAACCTCACAACTGAGCAACGTAAACAATGAGTTTCAAAGAATTGACATGAAGAAAACCAACAACACTCCAATGCTGCACGAAATACCAAACCCATGGAATACCATGAAATGCCATGACCTTGTGATACACTGTGATACACTGCGATACACTGCGATACCAGTATCATTCTGGCGTGATAGATTTTGATAGTTGGTGTCCTTGACTCTTTCTTTCTCTTCCAGCATTCGTTTTTTCTCCTTGAGGTCAGAGGGTTACCAAGGTGCCCCGAGATGACTATCCCTCCAAACCGTACAGAATTCCCAGACAAATCCAGGGCAAATCACCATACTATCGAAGGTATCTCTCGGTACTCAAACATG